TGGGGGTCACCACAACATGAGGAACTGTATATTGCAAATAGGCTCATCATAAAGAGTCACAGCATTAGGAAGGTTGAGAACCACTGTTTATATATGTGTTTTCCAATGGTCTTAGGTGACCCCTGTGAAAGGGTCATTCGACCCCCAAAGGGGTTGTGACCCACAGGTTGGCGACCCACAAGTTGAGAACCTCTGTATTACACAGAGATAGAGACAGATAGATAGATATAAAATCTCCACACACAAACATATCCATAAAAAAATTATAATCACAAGTACAGTTCTTATTTGTGGAAGTAGTCATGTGGTCATTGCTGGTATACGACCACCTGACTACTTTCTTCCACTAACCATTCTATTTTTAGAAAACACCTAATTTGATTGTGATTCTTTACCTAATAGAGTGACCCAAACTTTCATTCCTGAAGGGTATAAACCATTAGTAGTTCTTCCTAAATTGGTTATTGTAATTTTTCATTGACTTTAGTCACAAGGCATGGTAATACTAAAACAAGACCTAAAAGATCTCTTGTATTCTAGATATAGACTTTCTTAGCCATATCATAGAGCAACAATTCAATTTCCCAATCAGGATCAATCACTCTAGCTAACACAATAACTCCCTTTGTGATGCAGATAGCATGCTGGACTGCTCAGGTTGCATGATTACTTGGTGGCCCATGGTTAAGCTCTTAGTTGAAGGCCCAGTAGAAGGCCAAGAGCTGTTTATCCAAAGGAGAGTTATTGTCCACATATGATGGCCAAGCTTTGATCCTAAAGGCCTGCACAGTGACTCACCTATATGAGCCCATCAAAGGTTTCAAACAGCATCACTCTCTGACATTGAAACTCCAGGCGACCTATCATCAATAACTCAACAAACAACAAGTGTTGGGGAGGATATGTAGAAAAGGGAACCCTAATGCACTGGGAATGCAGATTGGTGCAACCACTATGGAAAACAGTGTGGAGATTCCTCAAAAAAATTAAAAATGGAATTTCCTTATGACCCAGCAATTCCACTTCTGAGAATATATTCAAAACACTAATTCAAAAGAAAATATGTACCCCCATGTTTTTTGCAGCATTATTTACAATAGCCAAAGTATGGAAACAACCCAAATGCCCATCAGTAGATGAATGGATAAACAAGTTGTGTTACATATACACAGTGGAATACTACTTGGCCCTAATGAAATCTTACCCTTTGCAACCAGCTCACACCCCCGCCCCCCGCTCCAGCAGTATGAGTGTTTATATACCAACCTCTTGCTGATATTTGGCATTAAGTTTTCTAATTTTTCTCATTTCTGTCTAATGGGTATAAAATAATATTTTTTAGTTTTATTTTACTTTTATCTGACTACTGATGAATTTGGTCAGCTTTTTATATGCTTGCTATCTTTTGGATTTTTCCCTTCTGTAAATTCCCTTTCAAATTCATTGCATATTTGTCCACTGGAAGTGTATTTATTTTTATTGATTTACAGAAGTTCTTTGAATATTCTAGATAGTTGCCAGCTGGTTTTAGACAGGTATCTTGTTAGCCTGTCACTTTACTATTAACTTTGCCCATTATGTTTTTGTGTGTGTGTGTGTGTGAACAGAAATCTTAATTTTTATGTAATTCAATTTATCAATATTTTACTTTGAGAGCTTTGTAAAATAAATTATTTTCTGTCCCTCTGTTACAATTTTTTTAAAAAATATATTTTATTGATTTTTTACAGAGAGGAAGGGAGAGAGATAGTTAGAAACATCGACGAGAGAGAAATGAGATAGTTAGAAACATCGACGAGAGAGAAACATGTACCTGCCCGCAACCCAGGTACATGCCCTTGGCCGGAATCGAACCTGGGACCTTTCAGTCCGAAGGCCGACGCTCTATCCACTGAGCCAAACCGGTTTCGGCTACAAAATTTATTTTTATTATCTATTATATTAACATCTTTCTTATTTAGGTCTTTAATCAACCTGGAGCCCATATGTATATATGGTGGTAGGTAGCAGCCCAGTTCTGTGTTTCCATGTGGTATCCTGTTTCCCCAACAAGTTGGTACCACTCTTGTGATTCGTCTCTTTGTTCTTTGCCATAGTTCATGCTATTTTGTTAATAAAGCTTGGTTGTATATATCAATATCTAAGTAAAGTAAGTCCTTATTGGTTTTTAATTTTTAAAAGTATATGTGAACTTTTATCTTTACACATGAATTTTGAAAAATTTATTAAGTTCCACCAAATTCAACTGAAATTTTAACATGGATTATATTAAATTTATAAATTAAAATAGAAAAACTAACATATTTTTAGTAAGTTGTTCCATGCAGGAACTTTCACTGTCTCTCCAGTTATTCTATCATCTTCTATGAGCCTTATTACAATTTGAATTATTCTCCTTAGAGATATAGGTATTCTTGCTAATACTTGGAGTCAATAGAAGATGAAGATAAATAATACAAATAACCTGGAAAAGTATTCTAAAATGGTTATAGAAGTTAAGGGTTTAGCAATTTGTTACCATAATAATATCCTTTGATCATGGGTATTTGTGCAAGAAGAATTTTTAAGAAATCGTAGTTACCCCAACATACTATAAATAAGAAAATAGTCCCCAATGAGTAAATGACTCACTCAGGGTTGCAGAGGGAGACAATGAGAGAGCCTCAAATTGAAATCAGGTTTCTGATTCCTAGTTTATTACCTTTGCCAACAATCCATGCCCATAATAGCCATTTATCTCTGACATCTTGACATTTAGTGTATTATTCCCCCCTGGTAGAATGAATGTTACAGCTGCCTTATGTATCCTGAGAAATCAGCTTTTTTTCTCACTGATGCTCACAGAAAGAATGGTTGACCTGCAAAAGCCATAGGACAGATTACACACACACACACACACACACACACACACACACACGCCTTTTGAGCAGTATATTGTTTTCTTATTAATAATGGTTAGTTAGCACTTAAGTCCCTGCATTCTAGCTGTGGTTGATAGAGCCTTTCAAAATCATACACAGTGGTACTTGCACAAAATAATCGTCACACATTAGCATTTTAATGAAGTGTGAGGGTGTTAAGCATGGCTGGCACGCTGGAGAAGGAGAGAAAGGATCTGTCTCCACTCCTGCATCAGCCAGACTGCACAGTCAGTGCAGGCAGGCTCAGGCTGAGTGGCAGGGCATTATTCACTCTTGACATGCACTTTCTTCTTCTCCCCACATGCACGTTGAAACTGGGGTTTTGCTGTCTTAACCCATCTAATGTTCCCCCAAATAAGTTGGTTAGGCGACATAAATGAGTGCTCTTCATTTTTTCAGACAGACAGACGGCAGAACTTACAAGGGAATAACGAAAAGACTAAATTCTCTGTTTTAATGACATCGATTGAATAACATTAAAAAGTCAAAGCCCACATGATTTCATAGCATTTTAACTTGGCACATTTGAAGCTAAATAACATGCCATTTGCTTTGAGTTTGTGTAGAAGGGCCATTAACTGAAAACCCTAAATTGTGTGTGTGTGTGTGTGTGTGTGTTTCTAGGGCTAGTCACAGAGGTGGTGGCAGAGAGAATTCTTGCATGTTTTCTGAAGGTTGGCAAGATGTCAGTCTGCTCTTGAAGCCAATATAGACAGTGCTCTCCCACGTAGGAAACCGT